CGTAGAAGGGCAACAGGTAGCTCTTTTTAACTTCTTTTCTTATCTTTATAAATCTTAAGATCTTCAAGAGAAATAATGGAATAAAATTTGAATGCGTTAAACGTTTTCCAGATCATGGAATCAATTCCACATGCGTTGGTAACCGTAGATACAATACCACCAGATCGCGTTCCAGTTCTTATTCCACAAGACAATTCAAGTCGCTATCGAGAAATGAATCTACGCAATCGCAAGGGTGATAGCTCAAAAAATGGTGTCGCTCGAAAAGTTGGATCGGAAGAAGTATTTTGTTTTATTTAATTCTTAATGTTCTTGCTAAGTGGGAGTTGGACGAAAAGAAAATCAAATTGCCAGCTCACAAGCAACAAAAAATTTAAAACTTTATTTTTTTTACAATTACAGCTTAAAATTTTGGAACGAATGGGCAAATATCAAACAATGATGGTTGATCTGAGCTTACTTACTTGCTCACACAGTGACTGCAAGGAAAAGCAACCATTTTCATCACTGTTCACGTTTGCTTATCATCTTACAGTGAAGCATAACCGCCGTGCTACATCAAACAAGCGAATCCCATGTTATCTGTGCGATTTTGAATCTCAGACGTACGCACTTTTGCTGCTTATAAGTATACTTCTAGTTTTAGTATAGTTTTTTATGACTAATTGTTTTCTGTCATTAGATGATAGTTTGGTAACTGATTTATTCAATGATGTTAATATTTCAGATACACTGCATTGATTGAACATTTAAAAAGTTTGCACGAGCAGTATTATCAGGAACATGTTACGGCACGTTCAACATCCGAAGAGCTTAAACGAGGCAGGAAGGGAAAACAAGTAAAGGTAAATATCTTTTAATTTATGTTTTATTTTGCAATTGTAGCAAAGTCTTTCAAGATTTTTTTGACTTCATTTCCGAAAAACTTTTATTTGAGACTGCACAAATGCGAGGGCGAAGCTTGAGTCCATTATCCGATGATTTTCTTGAGACAGAAGAATCATCTGATGGATCAGAAGAGATTGGATATGACTCGGCTCCTGTGCTGGAATTAATGGCAAATGTGGAAGCTGAAAATATTGAATTGGTATATTTTGCTAATCATTTTTGTTAATTTTTTTTTTGTTAAAGATATCGTTTTACATAACATAAGCATAGCTTTCAGGCGGTGAAGGATCGTATGGATTACATTATTGCAGTTGTATGTGGTGACATCGAAAAAGATCCGATGTTGGAGGAAAGCAAATATGAATTGAACGTACAACTTTTGCGTGTAAGTTTAGTGATTTAAGTTTTGTGAATTAAACATATCTTTGCGTTTATGTATTCACGAAAAAGAGAGAACTTTAAAATTGGTACAAAGAGTTTTAATGGAGTGAAATATAAAAGATAAAGTAATTCTAAATTTAGAATGAATCTTCTTCGGGATTGCAAGTTCGACCGAAGGAACATGCACGTCTTACCCATGGAAAGACGGGCCAGGTTTGTTTTAGTGTTGCAAAATATTCACAATTTACTAACTCTGCGATAAGTTACTTTACAAGCATGACACATTTCAGAAAATTCACTTTTTAGTTTGCAAAAACTAGTCGATCGGTTTGGGAAAAGAAAAAGTGCTGTCCACCAATACTCCTTCGTATAGCGCGTCACCGCTTGGTGGAAAATGTGACAGTGGATCAAATAGCTGGTCCTAGTAAGGTACTTGTTTTAAGAAAATTCAGAAATGCAGTTAAGTAACTTTTGAAGATTACTGTCAGGGGAGATAAATTGAATCATATTATTTTTTTTAAGATTTCGCAAGAGAGTGATGAAGAAGCAAATCACGAGATTGAATTACCGAGGATATGTGTTAGGGGGCTTAAAACAAAATTAAATGCTAAACAGGCACTAAAGAATGATATTAAGAAGGACGAGCTGGGCGGAAATAATGACAAAGTAAGTATACGACCAGTATTATTTGATCAGTGATATGTTTGATGAACATAATTTTTTGAAGTTTGGGCATGTGAAATTTTAATTTTTGATTTTTAGACTGAAGATAGTCGTAAACAGCGTCCTTCACGTCAGCGTCGTAAACCAAACTGGATTGATGAAAACTATGTTACTGGCTTTAAGTAAGCATTCCTGTCACTAAGCTTTATTCTTTATTGTGTACTCATTTGTGTTATCGTGAATATATGTTGAGTTGCTGGGACAAAATTGGTGGTTAGCATCGACATATTTCATTTTACGCCGGCAAATAAATATTCGTGTTCCAAAGAAATTGATTCTTATTCTTCACAATTTTATGCCATTTGTAAAATTTAGGAATAAACGTGCTCGTCGCGATGATGATGATGTTGATTTGGAATATGCACAAGCAAAGGGGCAAAGTCGACCATCATCGAGAACTGAATCAAAATGTACTAAAAATGCAGATAGTCAAAGTTCAACACCTGTTGATCTTTGCAGTGCCATTCCTGGTATTCAATCAGAGGCAAGCAGCGAAGAAACATCGAACTCATCAACTCCTGCTCCACATGAAAGCACATAGTTAGTCCCACATACTGTAATTTATTTTTCCTTCTCCCTTACACTTCTTCGTAATATCAAAGAAATTCATGAAGAATTGCATTTGTTTTTTATAGTAATATTGCGACCACGAGCCATGAATTGGACAATAGTGCAGCACGATCGTCACATCCCTTATCGTCAGCTGCACTATCTTCAGCTGGTGCAGAAAATGTCAGGGATGTAATGGTAATTCTTTCATTATCAGAAAATGTTGATTAATAACAATATTTTGATTAATGATTAATAATAATATTTTCATGATTAATATTAATATTTTCTACGAGATGATTGTTATTGATATTTCGCTTCTAATTTTAAGTTTCAGACCAAGAAAACCTGCCGATTACAGTATACTCCACGAGCACGAAGAATGAAATATGGAGATGATTTGTTATCCAATGCCGGTTAGTCATCTTTTTTTGCAACTTCGAATGTAT